TTTTGTTGAAAGATGTAATTGACTTCATATTTATGCATTTTATTGTATTTAGCATTTTTGTGTTAAATTTACATATATCCTAAAAAATATAAAAAAAACGTATACCCAACGTGTCCGTGTCCTAATTTTTTAGGAATTGACCTATCGCTGTGTCCTATCGTGTTCGTGTCCGTGCTTCTTAGACATTCAAATTTATGAAAATAATCCAATATTGTATTTGGAGTTGAGGTGAGCACATGAAGTCAGCAGCTTTTCCTCTGACTCTCATAATTCATAATTTACAGCCAGCTTGGAATTTCTAGTTATGGGTCTTTTTTCTTTTTTCTTTTTTCTTCTTAATTTATCTTTTTCCCCTTTTTCTTCTTTTGTTGGAAAGTCTAACACATCATTGTAACTTTATAATGATACCTCAAAGCAAATAGTTGCTTTTTGACCCCTTTAACAAAAATTCTTAAAAAATTTTAATGTTACCCTAGTGATATAAACTAAGATACTTTAGCTTTATTACTAGGATCAATCACAGCTAAAGAGTTATAGTTTGCCTTCGACTCTCACATCCAAATAATAGTGAGCTCCACTAATGGATACCGAGAAGGTAAAGACGGAAAGAAGCTTTATTCATGGTGCCAAATGAAGACACGAGAAGAAGATGAAGAAACGTTGAATGAATGAGTTTTATTATTTTTTCTAATCATCATGGGTGGCTCATTGGTCCAAAAGGGCTATGGTTAATGAGTTCAAATTTCATGATGGCCAACCTCTTGATATTTGATCATGAAGGTAATCTATCATCTAATCTTYTTCTTTGGATTTTGCCAATTTGAAGTTGGAATTTTAGGTATTGACAGTTAGGGTCCTCCTTCCGATGGGAGGGTGTTTATCTTAAACTTCTTAAGGTTTCAAATCACCTACCTTCACCTGTGAATTTAATTAATGGCAATTTATTCAACAAGATCCGTTCGGATCGGAACAGGATGAATTGAATTTGTCTGCCCTCTTRACATTCTCTCTTACCAAGCTCTCGTACTCGCCAGGGTTGAGATGATATGTGGAAGTAYGTTATGATGATCCAGAGAAACATTGAGATATATGACCAAAAAATTTCGCTGTCTATAGTTTAATATATACTAAAAAAAAAGATTTGGAAGTAGAGCAAGGCTATAAGGCAGGGCGAATCCGAAACGATTGCCTCAGTTCAGATTGTTCTCTACAACTCGGAACATGAAGTTTGAATAAAGGAGTCTTCGGAACYGATGGAGAGGGTATGATGATTGAAGGCTATTCAAATAGCATGACCGATATATACCACAAAGAAAGGGGTATCTAAGTCACACAAGTGGAATAGCGACATGGGAGTCTTATGGCATTGCTTGGGTTCAGGTTTGTCAGGGAGCCCCTTAATAGACTTCAACCAGACGGAATAATAGGTATAAAGTAAATTACCCAAGACGGCTTGATTGTGGTAGGCATTGCGAACTCATTCCCATTCTTTCTTTCCACATCTCTTTTTCTTTTCTTTTGGCTGATTTTGYTAGGCATTGAATCCCACCTTAGGTGCTGAGTAGTGTCCTCCCATCCAAATAAAACGGTTTCAACTCAATGTATGCATTCGATTAAAAAGGTATAATATCAATTTTTTGGGCCAATGCTGCCCTAATTTCCCACATACGTGGGTTCGGTCCTTCAATGCCGGTTAAAGTCTCGAAACCTTGTGGGGTTAGGAGTAAAGCATCCTAGAGAGCTAATCGAGAATGGGATGCATTTAAATAAAAGAACGAACTCAACACTTGATTTTACTTTTGGGTGATAGTAGAAAAAAAAGGCTCTCTTCTAGAGCCGCATGCATTCACTGTTTGGTGACGGGTCGCGGGCCCTTTCCCTCCTTGGTCTATTGTCTATCGATGTCTGGTAAAGATTTTCTTTTAATTATTCATTTGAGAGCACTTGCAAAATAGCCAAAAAAAAAAATTATAGGAATTTGTAAAAGTAGCAACCATTTTTTAATTTGGTAAAAATAACAAAATTAACCTCTTAATGAAAACGAACCAACGCAATGATGTACCTTTTATATATATATATATATATATTTTTTTTTTTTTTGAAAACCCAACCATATACTTAGTAAAAAAGATTAATGTTTTAACTAATGTAAATAGATTTTGGAAAAGTTGGGACTAGAGAGTGTTTATTAATGAACAAAACACCCTCATTTTCCTCCCCCGAGACAACTAATCAGGCTTGTTATGGGCATCGGTAATTGTTGCGCCTCTGCTTAATAGCAAGAGGGACGAGTGCAAGTGCACACTGTCACAAGTAATAATCTGGAAATATTCCAAGTTCGTCTCCACAGGGA